GCAGCAGGTGAGGTGGGGATGAGGACTCCGTTTTATTGACACTGCTTCCTGCCAACCTGGGGACATTGCAATCTTTGGTGGACCAGAGAAAGCTGGGGTTCTGGCCAAGTCCAAGAATAGCTGGCCATTTTGCTTCACTATCCAGGCTCTGTGGGGTGTTCAGTGACTCTTTGACCTGGCAAGATGTTGTTTGAGGTGGATCCAAGTCATGTCCCTGGAACTTACAATAATTCTTTGAAATTATGAAAAGGTAGTTTTTAGACACATTTCCCACTGTTTATAATCTTTACAGAAATCCTCATTACAGAAAAGTTAGTATACTTACCTAGTGGCACTACTCTGCTAGATTAATAGCGTATCAGAATTCCAGCAATTAATGTTAAGACTATGAACTTTTGGAGCCTTTTTTTAAAATTAATTTTTATTTAAATTAAAAACAATCTGATTGTTTTTGTGTGGTGGTGATACACGCATTTAATCCCAGTGCTTGGGAGGCAGAGGCAGGTGTATCTCTGTGAGTTTGAGGCCACCATGGTCTACAAAGCTACACAGAGAAATCCTGTCTTGAAAAACCAAAGGAAAAAAAACCCCAAAAACAAACAAACAAAAACCCAACTTAATTTATGTACCAATCCCAGATCCCTCTCCCTCTTGTCCTCCCATCACTGCCACCACTCCCCATTCGTTCCTCAGGGAGGGTGAGGCCTCCCATGGGGGAATCATCAAAATCTGTCACATCATTTGGGGCAGGACCTAGCCCTCCCCCGTGTATCTAGGCTGAGAGAGTATCCCTCCATAGGGAATGAGTTCCCAAAGCCCATTTGTGCACTAGGGATAAATACTGCTTCCACTGCCAGAGGCTTCACAGACTGCCCAGGACCCCAATTGACAACCACATTCAGGGGGCTTGGTTAGGTCCTATGCTGGTTCCCCAGCTGTCAAACTGGGGTCTGTGAGCTCCCACTTGCTCTGGTCATCTTTTTCTGTGTTTTTCCCCAGCATGGTCTTGACCCCTTTGCTCATCACTGCTCCCTCTCTATAGCTGGATTCCAGGAGTTTGGCTCAGTGTTTATCTGTGAACTCTGCTTCTGCTTCCATCAGCTACTGGGTGAAGGCTCTTTGATGGCATTCAAGGTAGTCAGCCATCTCATTATAGGGGAAGGAGTCTCAGTGAAAGAAAAATCTGGAACATGTTCCATTCTTTTTAAGTGTGAAGTCACTTTTCCTTATCACCAATTAAGCTCTTTTCTCTTCACATAAACAAACCTTAAAGCACTGATTCTGGGCAGGAGAGATGGCTCAGAGGTTTAGAGCACCGACTGTTCTTCCAGAGGTCCTGAGTTCAATTCCCAGCAACTACACAGTGGCTCACAACCATCTATAATGAGATCTGGTGCCCTCTTCTGGCCTGCAGTCGGAACAGTGTATACATAATAAATAAACAAATCTTTAAAAAAAACAAAAAACACTTGATTCTTTTGCATCACCTGAACACCCTCTTTTCATCCAATTTACCAGGAAACACAGATGGTCAGTCATTGTATAGTTAATACCTTTTAAATAAAGGGATAATAGTTGCGTTAATATCTGTTCTGGGACGCCGGGCGTTGGTGGCACACGCCTTTAATCCCAGCACTCAGGAGGCAGAGGCAGGTGGATCTCTGTGAGTTCGAGGCCAGCCTGGTCTCCAGAGCGAGTGCCAGGATAGGCTCCAAAGCTACACAGAGAAACCCTGTCTCAAAAAACCAAAAAAAAAAAAAAAAAAAATCTGTTCTGGGTCTCTTTTCTGAATCTGAGGGGATGTGGATACATCTGGGGTGCTGTTGGTTCTCCCCACCTGGACTTGGTTGACAGATAGACAGTCTTGCACCTCCAGCTCTGCACCCAACAGTTGGTAGCCCTGTAACAATAGCTGATTAGTTGTTTGGTCAGAGATTTTTTTGAATGTGTCGTTGGAGATACATAGAGAAGACATTGACGAGGCAGGATGTGTTTGTTCAAGATAAGAGAATGAGCAGAAGAGTGAGGAAGGGGAGCATTCACGTGGGACTCCCAGTCCAGGAGAGCTGAGTGCAGCTGCAGGCTGAACCCTCATTTTTCTGGAGTTGGGGAAGGCAGTTGATCTCGGTGCCCTCTGAAACTCAAGGGAGCAGGGTCCTATTTGAGGTGAAGTTCCTGTGACATTTTTTTTTTTTTAACACAGATGTTTTTAAAGGCATGTTTAGTTGAAGACATCTTTCCTGAGGACTGTCCCCATCTTTGACTCCGATGTTGCAGCAAACCTAGACAGGATGTATAGAGAGGGAAAACAGACAGACTTTAGAGCAATGAAAAGGAAAGTGGACAGTCTGGTCTAAGAAACACTGAGGCCAGATTGGATTTGACAGGCGTGGTCAGTGGGTCTCCAAAAGACATCCCAAAGGTAGTGAGGAGATGCATGACACAGTTCCAAAGGTTGAGGCAGAGGAAGAAAATCCAAAGCCTGGATGTCCCAGACATTCAGGGAGGATATGATTGAGTGGGCACAAGCTGTTCAGTACCTTTTCACTGAGAACAGGGGCCAAGGGCTCTGAGCTCAAGAGAGGCATAGTCACCTAGTACCAGGACTTCAAGAAAAGCCAGAAGGTGAAGAAAGGACTCGAGAAAGGAGGCCGCACATTCAAGGGAAGGGCCAGAGGCAGGCAGCCCTGCCAGAAACCCAATTGCCAGTATTGGATAGAAGGCTTCATAATAAAGGATAAATAGGCTTCAGGTGTGACTTCCCACTTAACACGTGTAAAAACTACGTTCTAAGCATAGACTTAAAGGTATGTTTCATCAGGCCCTAGGGAAAATGCTTTAACCCAAACACATGGGCTTTGCTGTGACACCAAGGTATACATCTGTCCCAGCTGTTTTACAGGCCCTGTAGGTTCCTGGGGAAAGAGTTCTGCTACTGTATCAAGAACTCTGGCCTGGTGGAAGCTAACATCAGTCTCTAGAGCCCCTCTTTGACCCCATCCATCTTCGAGCCTGTATTTTACAGGTCCACTCTTCCTGGCAGACCTCTGCCAAGGCCAACCCACAGGGCGTGCTCCTGATGCACCAGTTCCTGCACCATCCCCGAGGACACCAACCAGGCGAGTACCGGCAGGTTGTCTTCACCCACGTGCCCACTCATAAAAAGCTCTGTTATCTCTTAACTCTTAGCAACACCTTTGCAGGATGGCTGGAGAGACTCCCCACCTCCAGGATACAGCAGATGTGACGACTCAGGTACTCTGGATGACATCATCCCCTGATTTGACACGCCATCCCCCAAGCTCCTGGGGCATCAGTGCTGGTATCACCTCTCCAGGCTCAGGCGGGCACCTGTCCTCCGGTTTTACAAGTTGCCCCAATGAAGAGCCTGTCTGCTCTTCTGCCCGCTCCTTCGTCTTTGTGAGTACAGCCAGGGCCAGGGCACGTCTCCACTCTCCCATGGCTAGTCCCGTTCATAGGGCCGGGGAAAACAACCTATTTTTTTCTCCTAGCAATTTGCCTTCTCCACTTCCTCAAGGAACAGATGCCCGAGGCCTCCAGCATGGCAGCCAGCTGAATGCTTCTTCACCCACCCCTCCCACCGAGCATTGGCCCACTGACTCCTGAGTCCCCACCCCATGACTCCCACATCATCCGATGCCAACAGGAAGTAGCCATGCTTTAAGCAGCACCCATACAACACAAGAAGGATGGAATGTTCCCTTGGAAGCTCTGCCTCAGCCCCCTCCTCCCTCTCCAAACCCTGCCCCTCAGAAAGCCTGCCAAGCAATGGATCCTCCCCAGAGCTGCTCAAGCCTTCAAATAGAGTGTATTTAAGCTCCAGTCCATAGACCTGCCATGTCTCTTCCCTCTTCGCTCCCTCACCTCACTTCTGGGCACTAGAGAGTCATCTGAGAGTGCTTTGCTCATCAAACTGGGACTTTTAATCTGGCTTCATCTGGCTTGATGGACGGAGAAACCTACTTCCAGGGACACAGAAATACTGATCTACCTACAATGTCACATCTTGGCTGCCGCTAATGACATATCCTGCTTGGTCCCTGAGAGGAGGCCAGTGTAGATGCCTGAATGCTAACACTGAAAGTGCTCTACTGCTGACATGCTCACCCTGTAAACTGCAGTTTTAGTCATAGAAGATATTGTTCCTTTATTCTAGCAGTCTGAGCAGAGGCCAGGTGTCTGCAGGGTGAATCGTCACTCTATCAGTTGTGTGGTCCTCCCCCCTCTTCTTGAAAGACCTCAGAAGAGGTACTTTCGTAGAAGGAGACCCGCACCCAGGAATCAGTGAGACCACGAACTTGGATGCAAAAAAGCAAGAGGCTTTATTACACGGGTACCCGGGGCGGCTTAGCTTCTGTTAGGCCAAGCGCGCCGAGCCAAGGGAGAGAGGTCCTTATATAGCAAAAGCGCAGTACAGAAGCGAAAAGCATAGTTACAGGGATTCTATTGGACAATTTAATGAGGTACAGAGCATTTTCTCAAGGTCTGATAATCAGGCGAAGTGGCCTTGGCTCTACTTAACTCCCTCCGTGTCCAGATGGCTGACCTTGGGACGGAGCGTTCCCCGGCGGGCGGGGTGCGGGTGCGGGGGCCCTGGGCCGGCCTGCCTCTGGCCGCCTCGCGGGCTCCTCGCTCGGCCCCAGCCCTGGGGCTCGGGAGGGGACAGGGATGAGGGGAAGCAGGGCGGCGGGAGTACCCCGTTTCCTCCTCGGCCAACTCTCCTCCCGCCCCCCCCAGATGCCCATCCCCCATCCTTCCCAGCCCCTCCCGCCTGCTCCAGAGAGAACACCCAGCACCGGCACAGGCGGGGAAGACAGAGAGGCAGCGGGCAGGGGGCTTGCAGAAGCATGCCGAGCGGGTCTTTCATTCTGAGTTTTACAGGAGTCACTACTTGAAAAGAGAAATAGCATCTTGTAGAGATTGTTGGTCCACCCGATTGTGTTCTGCACAGTCCTGGGAATCAGCAATGATGGCCATACTTTCAGTTTTGAATGAGTGTGTTTATTAAGTATGTAACAAGCCAAAGTAAAAGAGTAAATATAAAAAACAAAACATTGTTAATTGTGTGCTTGAAATATTCAGGGGGCATTGAGTGGGGAAGTCTTGGAGAGGCGGAGGGAGAGGGGTGCCAGAGCTCTCGGAAATCCAGGGCAGAGCAGATTTAGTCTTTGGTGAGGCTTCCAGGTTCAAGAATAAACAGCAAGAGAGAGATAACATCATCAAATTGGATGCTCACAGCAGCCAGCAGAAACTGTGGAAGCTGAGCAGTCAGGGTAAACAGGAGTGATATCTGTTAGAAATGGTTCACCTTCTAGCTGTTCCCAAGGCCAGTGTCTCCACTCTTGGCCTGTTTTACTGGTTTCTCTGTCCAGCCACTGGGTTAGAGGGGCCAGGGTATTCTTAAAAAAGATGTCTTGGAGGACATTTGGAGACAAACATACTTGGCTTTTAAATGGGGGAGGGTACAATCCTGCCTACCAAGTCATGTTCTCCGTGGGCTCCCTCAGCACCTGACAGTTCACTACTGTGATGTAAACTGCAAGTGTTAAGTTTTAATTAGGAGTCTAGTTGAGTAGAAAGGACAATATAGAAAGTCAAAAACAAGCGTGGCAGGGTGTTTACGTAGAAGGGCTGAGTGGACAGTGGGGTCTCTGAGCATTGTGCTGTTGACTGCTGGAGGGATGAGTAGTGGAGAGAATAGAAAGGACTATGTTAACAAAACAATGTGGTTGCTACGAGATTGAGGTTGTTCCCCTGTGTTGTTGATTGATAAAGTTCTTTCAAAAGTCGTCTCAAATTGGCTTCCTACTGTGACTCCAAGATTGTTGAACTTCCAGTTCTGAAAGGGAAGTAGGAAATCAGTGATCAGTAATAACTCTTATTAAGCTTGGGCAGCCAGTTCTTGCTTAGACTATTCCAAGACGGGAGGGGTTTTGTTTTTTTGTTTTGTTTTGTTTTTTGTTTTTTGCGAGATAGGGTTTCTCTGTGTAGCTTTGGAGCCTATCCTGGCACTTGCTCTGGAAACCAGGCTGGCCTTGAACTCACAGAGATCCACCTGCCTCTGCCTCCCGAGTGCTGGGATTAAAGGCGTGCGCCACCAACGCCTGGAGACGGGAGGTTTAATCCAGTTAAGCGAAGGTTGAGGGGGGGTGGTGTGGCTACAAGATGGCTCAGTAGGTAAAGACACCTGCTCCTAAGCAGACTGAGTTCAGTCCCTGGGACCCACAAGGTGGAATGAGAACTGACTCCAGCAGGTTGTCTCCTGACCTCCATGCACACACCTGCACCATGACAGGCACTGATAAGCTGTCTTCCCACAAAGTATAGCAGGCTGAGTATCCCTTGCGCTAAATGCCTCAGATCAGCAGTGGTTTGGGTTTTAGATGTTGGGATATTTGCCTATACATAATGAGATACCACAGGTATGGGATCAAAGTCGAAATCCAAAAATTCATTTGGTTTATATAATTATTCCACAGATAACCCCAAAACAACTTTATACAGGACATTTCATATTTTGCATGAAACAAACCTTTCACGGTATGAGATTTTCCACTTCTACCATGTTAGTGCTAGGTGGGTATAATTGAAAGACCCCCGAAGGGAGACCCCCGCTCAAATCTCGGGAATAGCGAGCACCCAGTGAGGCACGGAGACCGGACTTGCAACAATCACACGAGGAAGTTTATTAAAAAAGGAATTGAATGAGATCTCAAGCCAGCATGCTGGGGTCGAGGCTCAGAGGAGTTCGACCCCGACCCAAACTTGTGACATGCTTATAAAGGCAAAAACCATAAAGGAGGAGGGGGACTAGGGAGGAAATAGAGGAAGCCCAAAGTTACACATTCACTCATAAAGGCAAAAACCACAAAGGAGGAGGGGAGGACTAGGGAGGCAATAGGGGAAGCCCAAGGTTACACATTTACTCATCAGTGAAACTAAGTGGACACACCTGGTGCGTTTGAACTTTTCACAGAGGTCGTTGAGACTTCCTGTGGTTATTCCAGGAGCGTTTTTTTTTTTTTTTTTGGGGGTTTGGGTGGTATGTTCTATTTTTTTTTTTTTT